TAATTATTATAAAATCTTACTTAGTTGACCCTAAAGTTCCCTTAATATAATCTATAATTAACTTTAAATATCTCTTTACATAGCCCCTTACGGACTATACCTAAACTAAACTTATAACTAAATCTGTTAAGAGAGGACGAGGAAGATTATATAAGATTTAAAATATTTTTATTAACAGAAAAGAGCTACAACACCAGGAAGAATTAAAAAGACTTTAAAAATAAGAGAAGATTATAACATCTAGACGACTATTTAAAGCCTTAGATAACTCTAAGATTAAAGTATTACTTAAATAAGAAGTCTTTATATTTAAAGAGTATAATTAGAGTAAACACAGAGACACAAGGATCTTTAATTTAAGAATAGTTCAGAAAGTTAAAGGACTTGGAACAGACTCGCTATATAAAAAGTCAAGGCTCGTTATTTAGGGATATATAGATATAGATAAGGACCTAATTCTAATCTAATCCCTAACTCTCTAATAAATAAGTTAAAAATTAACCCTAGCAATCGTACCTACGCTGATAATAGAGTTTAATTATAATCTTTAGATTCGTAATATAACTCAGGCGTATGTACAGTCTAATATATGCCTTATATATTTAATACTAGCCTAAATCCCCTACTAGATCTAGTACCTATACTTAAAGAGAACAATCATGCGTATTATAAAACTACTATATAGTATTATAAAGACAGGCATCTATTAATAGGCTATATACTCAAAGCACTACTATAATAAACTAAACATAAAATCGTTATCCTTTGACTTATGTCTTCTTATCACAAAGGATCACTCCTGGACTATATTCGGAGTTATAGGTATACAGATAGATGACACTCTCATCCTCTATAATAATACATTCTCTAAATTAAAAGAGGAATAAATTAGGATCGCTTAAATTACAGCCAAACCAAAATAAAAGCTAGATCCTGAATCTGAACTAATATTTAATAAATATCGTATTCGAAAATCCGATGATTAAATTCACGTATAATAAAAGAGATAAGGCCTTAAGCTCTAACTCATTAACACATCTAAAAGTGACCTGAACCAGCGATATATCAAATAACAAGTAAGAGGAGTATACATTGTATTAATCTGTTAACTTAAGGCAATATTTAACCTCTCTATTACAGCTCAGCATTAAAATCCAGAGAAAACTAATATTAATACACTAAATAAGTGAATTTAATAGTAGATTAATAACCCTAATAGGGGACTTCGTTACATTCCGTTTAATATCCAAAAGTACTTACTATTCGTATTCATAGATAGATTATTCGTAAATAATAAGGATATGAGTTCTCAACTCAGCTTTCTAATCATTATCAGAACTGAATTATAGGAGAATAATAGCTTTAAGTTAATAGGAAATATTATATACTATTTTTTAACTAAGAGCAAACGCATAACAAGGAGCGTTCTAGTATTTAAGATATATAGAATAATTTTAGGAGTGGATATAGCCTACGCGTTTAATACAACACTTAACTAAATTACATAAGAATTAAATCTGCCTCAGATTAATACAATCATTTATATAGATTTATATTTATTATATGAGTGTCTGGTTAAACTCGGAATAACTAAAGAAAAGCGCTTAATAATTAATATTATAGCCCTATAGGAATCATATGAGCGTTGGGAACTTTATGAGATTTGGTAAATAAACGGAGCAGATAATCTAGCTGACGCCTTCACGAAAAGGGATAGTAATAGTTTACTAACGAGGTTTATCGACACCAACAAGGCACATGTACGAATAGATGGATGGGTGGAAAGGAAAGAATAGATCCATAAAAAGAAACTATAAATACAGGAATAGAATAACAAATCAAGCATCTGGGTCCGCCAGCGGACTGCTACTATGTTCATGGGGACTAGCCCCAGAACCCCTCCAACCACAACAACGACCACCACCACCACCATCGCCCCGACCACGAACCGGCCCGGAAATCGAGGCAGGCAAAGCCTTAATGCTCTCCCAGAGAGCATCGAGCTTCCCCAAGATACCTCAGATCCCCTCCAAAAGAGCAAAGACTAACGGATCAGTCCCTGACTCTTTCATCATGCTCGTCGTCACACGGACGACATTGTCAAGAGCATAAGCCGCACGCTTGATGGCTATTATCTCCTCTAAATCCATCTCCTCCTCCTCCTCCAACACCAGATCATCTATAGCTGCCCAAAAAGCAGCATACTCCTCCCTAACGTACCAGGGGATCTGACATCTATTAGCTAGTGAACTCGGATGACATTCAGGGCACTTACGGGAATGCATTTCTCATTCTGTAATGTGCAATATGCACATTTCTTTGAGTTCAACTTATTGAACTTAAAGATGACGCGACGCCCACGACCGAACGCCTGCATAGAACGCAGGCAGATAACCCAGAAGGCCTCCGGAAGAGCAGTGGGAGGGCAGGGAATTAGCATATTAATTAGTTAACTGATTAATTGATTGAAATTTTTTTTGAAGGACTTGAAGGACTTGAAGGATTGGAAATTGGTCTACAGAAAGAGAAACAGTAGGAGACGGCTCTTTTTATGCCTAGATTTGACACCAGAAACAATTAGATAACCTAATAATAGGGATAGCTACTACAATAGTAAATAATTAGCACTACACAGGACTCGGACCAAACTCCTAGCGGTATCGGACCTCAAATAAGAACGAACAATAGGAACGAATAATAGGAGTGAAAGGTAATGAATCTAATTTTGCAACACAATAACGGCACAATATGACAATTAAGAAGGGACCCTTTTTGGAGTCACTTACGCATTGTTATGAGACGTATTTACGTCCATATTTAGAAAAGAAAAAGAAAAGTTACTAGTGTTGGAATAATAACCTATGAATGAGCGGATTGTTGATGCCACTAAGGCCTATTGCGGATCACTATTAGATGGCTATCGGATCTAATTCAGCCGCTAAGTGAATCCCTATCTACATAGACTACTCCATCCTATCTTTTTAATAGATAGATAGAATAATACAACTCGTTACTAGATACCCCTCCCCGCTTTGAGATCTCAAAGTTCCTGGGTGGAATAAATAAAGGGCTATATACTTAATTTGCTATTTCATACTAAAGGACCTAATAAACCGTATAAGCTAGATTTTTACTAGACTAAGAAAGAAGAATTTACTCCTACAGAGGCAGTAGTTTTAGATCTTTTATTAAGAAGGCAGGAAGAAGGATCTTCTTTAGGTAGTAATTACTATATTATTTGGATTAATAACTTCTTTACCTCAATTAAGCTACTAGAACGCCTACGGAAGGAAGAGATAAGAGGTATAGGGACTATCTATACAACTCATACAAAGCGTAAGCAAGATCTAGACAAGAAAAAGGGTAATAAGAAACGTAGAAGAGGGTCTCAAAACGCTATCTAAAATAGCCAGATTCTTAGCCAGGACCTCAGCCAGGAGACCCAGGAAAATAGCCAGGATTTCAGCCAAAATTTGAGTTAAAATCTTACTCAAAACAAGCCCTTTGTGAAGCATGGGGAAAAGAGGAAAAATACTACTAAAAACGTCTAATTTCTTAGCTAAAGTCCTAAGAAGAGGACCAAGACATTAGCTAAGTAAAAGGAGGTAGAAAACGAAGGTTGTAAGCCCATAGGAACGCTTGAAAACGTCACCTAAAATAGACAAAATCATAGCCAAAATCATAGCCAAAATCTTAGCCAAAATTATAGCTAAAATCTTAGCTAAAATCTTAGCCAAAATCTCAGGCGCACGAGCAGGAAATCAACTCTCTCCTAGAAGGCTAAACAGGCTCTAGAGAACGTCGAAATCTTATGGGAAAATCGCTAGATTTCCAGCTAAAATGCCCAGTTTCCCAGCCAAGTTCTCAGCTATAGCCTTAACCAGGATTTGAGCCAAAAGACACCTCCTCCTCTACTCCCATATTCGACACCTAAGGAGGTGGATGAGAAGGAGGTGGATGAGAAGGAGGTGGATAAGAAGGAGGTAGATGAGAAGGAGGTGGATGAGAAGGAGGTGGATGAGAAGGAGGTAGATGAGAAGGAGGTGGATGAGAAGGAGGTGGATAAGGAGGATTGGGAGGATGAAGATTGGGAGGATGTAGCCAACGAATCAAGAGAGCGCTTCTCTCAAAAGCTGATGAATGTTAAATTATACCATACCAACGACCTACAGTGGGGGGAGCTGTATTACGACGTGTCAGATAACAAAACGGTTCTTCAGTTCGCCTGGAAAGACGCCTAGGTCGTCTTATTTGCTAGTACTGTCGCTCGGCCTGAGGAAACAGTTGAGAGAGAGAGGAAGAGACCTGCCAAAACCTCTACCAACGCTAAGTGTATAAGACTAGTTTTTGGAGACTTAGCAGTAAAAGTTCTTTCTATTCCGGTATTTATTGATTTATATAGTTAATCACTTCATGAACGGCGTCGATCGTTTTGATTAAAGTACCTCTTATTATTCGACTCTTCGGGCTAAAAGGAAGACCTGGAAGCCTCTCTGGTTCTTTCTTTTTAATCTGGTTCTCTCCAATTGCTATCGGCTTTCAAGCTTCTTTAGTAAGCCTAATACAAAAAGAGGGGGTTATAAGAAGTTCCTTTAAAGCCTGGTTAATGGTCTATTTAATGCTTCTGCAAGGCTAGCTAACAGGAGCTTCCCGTACACCCTCTATGAGAGGTAATCACATCAAAATAGAAGAACACGGACCTAAGCCAACTAAGATTAGTAATAAAGTTAGGACCTGCTCAGCATGCGCTGCTATTGGCCGGAAGAGAGAGCCCTCTTAGTAAGCTAGATCCTAATGTACGTCGGCGTACGCCAGAGACGAAGTTTGGGTGTGAGTTATGTCAAATACCACTCTGTAAATTAGGAGAATACTGGAATGAGCACTTAAAACAGGTTGAATTAGCAAGATTTATAGGCTAGAGCACTGTAGAATTAAATTTGAAATGTGTAGGCTCTTAATTTAAGTATGGTGTTAATAAATACACTTGTAGAGTTGACTGTCAGCTATCTAAAATCTTGAGTTTTGATTTTCCGTGGTCACTTACTAATACAGGATTCTTGCCTTCTAATTGGCCGCATTTGCTCTTGGCGAGCGCACAGACAGCGACGGCCATTCTGGCAGTGCATGGGATAGCATTACATGGGCAACTCGCTAACGACACAACCGTGGATCCATGAACATCAATAACGACGAATGAGAAAGATTACGTCTCATACAGGTAAAACAATAATGTCTGCTCTCCTAAGGTCGATCTCAATGCCACTCTCTTCTGGGTCATCCAGCGGCCCCCGACCAAGAAGGAGCCTGCTGGACCCTTTAAAGACAGCGTAGCATTCGTGGGTCACGGAGTGGAAGTTGATGGGCTCGACGGGTTTTGAAAACGCCGCCCTGTAGCCAGACGTTCTTCTCCAAGGCATAGCGCGTCGATCCGGCGGTCGGATTCTCTGGGAGAACCGATCTGTAGATCAGCACCGGCAACCTGGAGTGGGGACGTGTGAGGTTGGGGGGAAGTGATAGATCTCTGGCGTCTGAGGAGCCATGGCTTATGCGTTGTGCGGAGTGCAGATAAGCCCCCGTGATAGGTAAATTGATACTGCTGGGGCCGTGCGAGCACTGAAATGTGGAGGTTAGAACACTAAACGTCAGCGCGATGCCATGGATGAGGTGACTTGGAGCCGGCGCACACTAGCGGACGGGGTCGTGGGGTGGATCCAGAGTGGTTGCTTGGCTATGTATGATCGCAGGCTTTGAGATAAGCATTTCCTGGTTGCTGTTTCGTGGAGAATGAGGGGTCTGCCGGCATGTGAAATGTCAAATCAAAAGGCTGTCTGAGGGAAATCCAAGACCCAACAACCAACAATTTGATATGCTGACAGCCGCTCGCGGCCGGTGCTACCTTCGCAAGCTGAGACCACAACAGTCTGAACAAATAAACAGCGCAGCCATAGATGCGACGTCCTGCCTTGCGCGAGACCGGTCAATTGCAGCGTAAATAAGCCCTGCTGGTTGGATCCAGGATTCTGGCCTATGCGAACCCGTGTGTCAAGTAGGAAGGTCTCTCTCCATCATCAACGACCAGCCAGCCCAAGCCCGTATACGCGGCGCAGAGCTGGGCGAAGAAGTCCGGGGGAGGCCCTATTGCGGACGTAGTGATACGTTTGCAGCTGCGAATAGAGCGGGGACAGGCTGTGGTATTCGTGTTGGCGAGGAATGCGACGTGCCTTTGCCACACTGCGTGCGTGGTGGACAGGATGGCGCATCGTCGTCTGCTTGCGGTGTTCTAGAGCCAGCGGACGCGGAGAACGCGGAGAGGAGCAGTCTTCTTGGTATCATGGGCTCTTCAGCAGCAGTGTGTGTGTGTGCCTCAGAGGAGGATGCGCTTTGTCCGCTCGTACTCATCTAGCCTGGTCCTTACTTAACACTTGCTTATCCTTAGGTCTATCTGTCTGGCGGCGGGGCTGATTTCTTTCGTTCCACATATACATCGTCTCCGCTCTTCCCCTCATCCTTCAACCAAGTATTTGTCTCCCGTGCCCTCTAAGCTTATAAGCGCTGCTGTCCGTCCGCACTTTCTGGGCTGATGGTTCGATTACGCAGTCTAGGTCTTGACATCGAGACGGCTTAGCGTCGAGTGTTGCTCGTCGTTCCAGCGATCACCAAACTCTCCGCCATTCACTCCACGGATCAACCCTCAAAGCCACAGGGCTGCCCGCGGCCCGCCAGCAACAGGTTGCATCTGCGAAGAGATTCGTCACCGATCTCTCCCGATCCTTCCGACTACCTAAAATTATGTTGGCTTGGTGATATTTGGTGTGTTTCACCCCCGCAGACACTATTTACCACGGACATGGTTCAACATCAACAATCTTATACCATCACCGCCGCGCCCGCCAGCTCTATTCGACATGTCCAGATAGTATCCTCATCACATAGCACCATGGCTCCTTCCAGACCGCATGCGCCGTCGAGCCATGCCAGACTTCACAAACGAGGCAACTCAGCCTCATCTATTACAAGTCCTCTAAACCCGCTTACGGACGCTGCGGCCTTCGCATTTAATCGCTCGGAGACCCCAAAGGTCACCTATGAAGAACCCTGGACCGAACCTGCTCGTCCCATGCCCGCCGCAACTTCCTCGAACCCGCTCAAGATCAAGCCATACCTCAGGAAGCTCTCCTCCAAAGACAACAATGCCCTGGACTTGTCGCGCCCAGCGGCGGAGAACGAGGGACTGACAGGATTGGGCATCTCTGACCACAGCGGGAACCCACGATCAGTATCAGAAGTCAGCTTCTCTCCGATGAACAGTCGTCACCGCCACCACCGCTCGACCAGCAATACATCGCAGTTCTCGACCTCGTCAAGCTTGCAGCGCCCGACGGCTCCATACATGCCCTCCATCCGCCAAACACCTCTGCCCTATACACCGCCCATCTCCAAGTCAACACCGTCGTCTATCGTGGGAAGCGAAAATGAAGCAGATGACATCATGACCGAGGAGGAGTTTCGCCTAAGACAAAACATGTTTGATCCCGCTCGGCGATCTGGCTCGGTTTCTTCGCAACCGGGAACATCTCCAGCACTTCGCCTCCACACCACCGGCTCTTCAACACGGCTCGGGAGCTATTCTCAAACCAGCCTCTCTCTCACCTCGCCTCCTATGCAATCACGGTCACGCGGTGACACTCTAAAATCCACAGACACTACTTCCCCCAGCTCTCGGACATCGTTTGACAAGGCCTTTGGTTTCATCCGCGGAGGACGCGACTCTCCCGTTGTTGATCCCGCCTCACGTGCTGCATCTATCCGCGCGGCCCGCCAGGCTTTCAACGAGAAGGAAGGTGCCAAGGAACGAAAGTACGAGAAGGAGGCCAGCAAGCAAGCGGAGAAGGAGCACCTCAAACAATACAAAAAGGAAGAGAGACAAAGGCGCAAATCCGATGCACAGGAAAGAAAGGAACACAAGTTCTCAGGAAGCGTCTCAAACGAGAAGATGAATCCTCTCGGTGGTAGACAGTATTCTGATCATCGAAAAGCCCACTCCCTTTCGCTTCCCGCCCATGTCGTGTCGGTTGACCAAGAGAAGGGAAACGGCGCCGCACCTCATGTTACGAAGAGCAGGGCGGTAAAGGGTCGATGGCTTCGATTTGTCACTTGGTTCAAGACGAGGTTGCTCAGGATTGGCAGGAAGCTGCATGTGAGTTCGTGAGCGATTGGTTCGAAGATGGTTGCCACATAAAGCGAATGCATGCACGACCATGCCACATCCTTCACCCATCAACATATCAGGTACCGGGGTCGATGCTGTAGGTATGGCTTGCATCCGATCTCCTTATCCTGCATGGAAGGAGTTCATTACATTTGTTTTTCTGCATTCAATATTTCATTTGGGTATCCAGTCGGGCGAATTGCATCGCGTCAGCATCACCCTCCAATACCCCGGATTTGTTCTTTCCGGTCTTTTGCTTTGGTTTCAGCGTGGCGTCCGGTTCTCACGATGATCGGTTCACGACGCAATGGCCTTTTCTATTCTTTCACTTTGCGCTGCATCTATAGCGGGCATTTCCTCTAGGGTATACGGCACGGTGTCATTAGGGAAGGTTCTATTTTTACTCTGGCGCATTGGGTGGCCTCGGCTATGGCTTACTGGTGGCATGCGTATCTACCTTTCATGGGAATGGGATGGCGCAGTCTCTTTATAGAACAGCACTGCGTGCTCGCCGGATTACATGGCTCGGTGCCTGTGATCCTACAATTTGAATCTTGCTTGGATTTTGCTCTGGCTTCATGCCATTGAGCTTAGCAGTGACATCCTTATCTATATCTACACGGTACTCCAGAACGGTGTTGTGACAACGCAACTTACATGCCCAGCTGCACGTGAGGTCCCATGGAACCGGGTCGAGGGATGCAACCGATGCAAATATGGTCCGACCGCTCCACCGAAGATGCACCGAGGCAAGACAGACCTCACTCCATAACTTCAGAGCTCCCCGCATCTCCCACTCTTGGTATGAGCATCATGCTCTCACAGTCTTTACATCCGTAATGTCTTTGAGAAGTCTCCCGCGAGCTTCAATTGCTCTGCGGAGCTCACATAGAGTCTCCGCTACCTACAGAAATTCCCCACGATGCACCGCGCAAACCCAACGGCGATATGCCAGCAATGAGCAAGATGAGAAACAGCCTTTTACAGCACAATTATTTGAGAGCGTACATACTCGAGTCCAACGAGAAAAGAAGGCGCAACAGAAGCTCGCTGAGCAGAGGGAGCTTGGCTCCAGAAGCAGAACCGTACAGCTTCTTGCTAGTATGGCATTTCATCCCTCCTAGATATAACCCAATCGATATCTATACTAACATTAAGAATAGTCGCAATCATGGCTGGAGCAACAGGCTACTACTTCGGCCAGTCCCTCCCCGCCGCCCCTCCCACATCCTCCACAACACCCCTCTACGAAACCACACCCCCTAACCACGACATCTCTTCATCAAACCTGCAGGCCGCCTGGTCCGACTTCCGCGAAATTGTCGGTCGCGAAAACCTCTCGCTCGAGAAATCGGAACTAGAATCGCATTCCGGGTCATTATGGTCGTCACACCCATCATCCCCCGACGACCTCCCGTTCTGTGTCGTCAAACCCGCGTCCACGGAGGAAGTCAGCAAGATTATGAAGGTTTGTAACGAGAGAAAAATCCCTGTGACAGCGTATTCTGGGGGGACGAGTTTGGAGGGACATTTCGCGGCCACAAGAGGTGGAATCTGTATTGATTTCTCGCGTATGAATAAGATTCTGGCGCTGCACGCTCAGGATCTGGACGTCGTAGTCCAGCCGGCCGTCGGCTGGGAACTTCTCAATGAAGAGCTGGCGAAATCCAATTTGTTCTTCCCGCCAGACCCCGGACCAGGCGCGATGATCGGAGGTATGGTGGGCACGGGATGCAGTGGGACAAACGCATATCGATACGGCACGATGAAAGATTGGGTTCTGTCTCTCACAGTCGTCCTCGCAGACGGAACTATCATCAAGACACGCCAAAGACCTAGGAAATCTTCTGCGGGATACGACTTAACTCGCATGTTTATCGGAAGCGAAGGAACGCTAGGTTTAGTAACAGAAGCAACCCTCAAAGTAACCGTAAAACCCCAACACACCTCCGTTGCTGTCTGCGCCTTCCCCTCGGTACGCTCCGCCGCAGACTGCGTTTTCCGCGTCGTCGGCGCCGGAGTCCCCATCGCCGCAATCGAGATCCTGGATGACGTCCAAATGCAATGTATCAATGACGCCGGCATGACCAACAAACAATGGACGCCTGCCCCTACACTATTCTTCAAGTTTGCTGGCACGCCTTCCTCTGTAAAAGAACAAATAGCACAGGTACAGAAATTGGCGAAGAGTGCGGGGAGCAAGAGCTTTGAGTTTGCGAGGAGTGAGCAGGAGAAGGAGGAGCTGTGGAGTGCGAGGAAGGAGGCGCTGTGGAGTGTTATGGCGAAGGGGGAGGGAGAGGATATGGGGGTCTGGACGACGGATGTTGCGGT